AGGACAAATGTGAACAAAATTAATATGCGCCAAAAAAACTTGATGACGGATTCCATGCTGCAGCATCAAGACCTAGCCAAAAACCTCTTGCCTAATTGTGGGCAGGGAAAAGCTGCTGCAAATAGGATGTGGGATGCGTTGACGGTCAAACTTAACGCAGCCGGCCCGCCGGTGAAAGATGCTAAGTCTTGGAGGAAGGTAAGTAATATTTGTGTTTTCACTACTAGTAAAGTGAACTGTCATATAAAAGTAAACACTTAAATACAAAAATAGGTATTTGCTGATCAAAAGCATAACATTAAAAAAAGATGTCTTTCAACAAAGCTTCGAAGCAAAGGACTGGGGGTGGTCCGTATGAAGAAAAGCTCCTAACTGCAGCGGAAGAGCAACTCCTCCAAGCTACCGGCATAGATGTTGCGGTAGAAGGACTCTCAACCGAACAATCGTTTGGGAATGCAGTGTCAGTGATGGAGGAAGAGGAAGTAGATGAGCTGATAGACGAGTTAATTGCTAACGGCGAGGAAGAAGAGGAGCCGACACCATCCAACAGTTGTAGTACTACAAGATCTTTTAAAACGAAGCCCTCTGCTGATAGCGAAAAACTTGCTCTTTTAAAAACAAACGTGAAAGCATACGAAGAATCGCAAGCCAGCATAGGTATAAATCTTGACAAATTAATCGCTTTGAAGAAGAGATCGCTGCAAATAAAAGAAGAGAGACATAAATCAGACATGGAGATTAAAGCAGTAGAGCTACAAATTAAAACTCTTGAGCTAGATGCTTTAAAGAGAAGAGTACCAAAATGAGTATTAAATGAGAGTTATTTTAAGTTCCTGTTTTTCGTAATGTGTGTATAATGAATTCTATTTTTAGTTCATATTTTTTGTATGTGTATATAATGAAAATTCTATTTTAAGTTCCTATTTTTATATGAATAAAAAGACTGAATTTTATTTTAAGTTCCTATTTTAATAAGAAAAAAAATTTTATTAAAAGGAAATGGATTAAACTGTCGAACGAGTGTTTATTTTTCAACGACATTATGTGATTTCTTATTTTATGCCCAATTTTGTTTAATTGGGTTTCACTTCCTGTATCTATTTCAGTATCATGATCAATAAAAAAAATAGCTACAGTATGACGGACTTTTAAATTTATGCAAATGTTATGCAACGCTGCACATACATTGCCAAATTGCGCCATCTTTTCAGGGGTGTAACGAATTCTTTTATCATTACTGAGAATTTTCCATCGGCCCTTCAAAATACCAATGGTGCGTTCAACAATGCAACGTGCTTTCGAATGAATTTCATTGAACCGCGCTTGACTGGAACCATCTACGGGGTTTCTGAATGGTGTCAAACACCATGGCTCCAAAGGGTAACCTGAGTCTGCTGTTAATTGAGAAAATACATACATATAGAAGACTATATTTAAGTATTTGTATAAGTGCATATATAACCTAAAAGCCAGACATTTTTAAAATGATTTCGACTGTATTCATCCTCTAAAAATTTCCTCTGCGCTGAATGTTTCCACACAAATGAATCATGTGCTGCTCCACCATATTTCGAGTCAATAGCCAAAATTCTATACTCGTAATCACAAATGTGGAAATGTACATTCATATTCATAAGTTTTTCATTTATACATACACATGTATAAATGCATATTATGTATAAATGTGTACATCCATATGTATGTGCAACTTACTATCATTGAATTGAGGCTGTGGTATCCTTTCCGATTATAAAACATATGCTCATTCTCAGTTGGTTTCTGAAGACCAAAATTTGTGCCATCAATACAACCGATCACCGTAAATGTAGTTGTAGTTATTAGTACGAAATTGTTAATGATAACGCAATCGGTAAACTTGCCTCCTGGAATTTTATATTTCTGAACAAATGACTCCGTTCACTGAGAAAGGCGGTCTGACGAAAACTTAATGAACTGTGGGCACAGTTTAGTTTCCATTTCTTTAACTACGTTCGCTATAATTTTAGAAACTGTGCTTTGGCATACCCCGATCAAAAAGTCGTTTCCAACTAAGTGCTGGTAGCCTGAAGCAGTGGTGGCACCGCGGTTGATAAATGCCCTTGAAATTTTATTTCCGACAGGACGAGACTAAATGCATCTTTAGAGAGTCTAAAGCGCTTCCTGAATCTGTAAGTGATTTATAAATTTTATTTAAATGTTATAAAACTTCATTTTCTTACGCTGCGTCAGATAAAGCCATAGGATTGCTTTTATCGCGAATCCTGCCCCTTATGGCCACTTGGTGATGCTCCTCGTCTGAATCCGATGAGCTTGTATAAAAAAATCCCCGGGGTACATTTTAGCGCCTGCAAAAACCAAATTTCATACATTTCTTTAAGAATATATCGTACATTTGAATACTTACGTTGGATTTCAATTCAAATACTTTTATTGTTTTGTTTTGTTTTCGCATTTCAGGCTATTTGTAAATGTCATTCAGAGAAACGTCAGGGATGTTATTGCATAACATTTCTATTCGCTTCGTTTCGAATGCGGCGATCCGGCTACTCGACACGTCACGTAATTTTCCTCGATGCGATTGCTCGCATGCTCACGACTGCCGCGATTCGGGCCCAGTACTGCAACGTTATGTGTGCTTTTGCACAAGCGGAAAGAATTTCTTGGGATTTTTTTTTATTTTTTTCTCAAATCAAAAAAACTTCATAAGTTCTCTTTTAAAAGGATTAACATAAAAGTCAAATGAAAGAAGAAATTATGATAATAAATTACCAAATAAGTGTACCGAAATAGAATCGTTGGGTGGCACACTTTATATTATTTTACTATGCTGATGGTCGTCATTTCAGTACCTTCCGAAAACATTTTTCGAAAGCTTATCAGAAGACCAAATAAAACTAGGATTTGTAACTATTTAAATCAATAAATACATTTCACTGTGAGTTAGTACTTCAACATTTATCGAAACTGTTGATATTTTCATTCGATGCATCGAAAATATCGATGTTTTTATACGATACATCGATATGAATCGATGCTATATTTCGATGCATCAAATGGAAAAAAACATCGATGTATTTTTTTGACTTGCATCCCTACTTGAAGCATCTAAAAATAAATTCCTGGTCGTGGGATTCGAACCGAGCTTAGTCTGCAATACTGCGGTCTGTCGGAGTACAATTTTGGTCAGATGAACTGCGCCGTTAATCGGAATTAACGTTAACGTCTGTCTATACTATAACACTTGCGTTACAGTCGTTTAAAACTCTTTAACAAAAACAAACATTAAAGCACAATAAAACAAGGCACTGCAACATTAACAAAAGTGAATATTTCGTAGGCTACAACGGCACCAATAACGGTGGGTAGCGGGTGGCGTACAATTGTCAATAAGGCAGTGGGCGATACCGAGTGCCTATAACTAAGTAGCTGACAGATTCTCGCTGCCGCTGAGACTTTTGAGCTTGTGCCGATGTGCTGGTGCATCTGCTTATGAGAGGTAGGGGTTGTTGGGAGGTTGGTGTGTAGTGTAATTATTGAGCAACTATGTACTTGCTGACTTTGCGTCGTTTCGCTGTTTGCCGCTTTGTCGACAGCGACGACCCCTTTGATGTTGACCGCCATACGCGGCAACATCAAAGCAATTTAATATTGTTGCGTTATTTGCTATTATTGTTTTATATATTTTCTTTGTTTTGTTCGTGTTTTGTAGCTGTTGTTACTGTTTTCTGTGCTCTCTGAATATTTGGTTTGTTGTTGTGTTTAATTTTTTCACTTTTTTTTTTGTTTGAGTATATTTTTGCTGCCAAGTGTATGCATGCATGGAAGGGGAGCGAGCGACAATATTTATTTCTGCTAACCGGCACACAGCATTTTGCATGTGGACAAAACTACATATATGTATGTATATAAGACCTACAAGTTACATGATTGTACAAATGTATGTACTTGCTGCGATGTAAACCTAAGTACTGCATATTTACATTTACAGCGTGTGCATAAAAATAAGTACAATGTAATCCACTTATAATGGACTCGCGTCTATAAATTTCAGTTCCAGCTCCATCATATATGTAGAAAAAATAGGTTATAATTACGGTGACCAGATTTCTGTGGCCAAAAATCGGGACATTTCTAAAGCATTGTAAAAAAATATACAATTTTGCTTTTAGAATAAAAAGACATAACATCTTTTAATACAGTTTTATTTAAAACAAAACAAAGAGAAGAAAAAATGATCGCAAAAATGTATACACACAATATATATCTACATAAAAAGTCGACGAATTTTAACAAATGTTGATCAAAATTTTAAACATTTTGATCACATTTTCCAAAATATTTTTGACTATGAAATTTTGTAGCTCATTCAATTTTAGTATAATAAAGTGCAAGTTTTAAGTAGCTTGGACCTACAAAGTATTTTAAACAATTTTTTGTATGGAGAAAATGAGCAACACCTTCCACAAAAAAACAACCACAAATCAACGGTCTTCATAATGTTTCTCAGAAATCGAATTAAAAAGCTCAAAATGTTGATGAAACCTTGTCGAATTTTGCTAATTTTTGTACAAAGTTTGAAATTTGGACTTATATTGTCTTTACAGATAACGAGCTTCACTTTCATAAAAAAATAATAAACATTAAATAATCGAAAGGGAAATAGCCAAAGAATTCTAAAATATTTCTTCCCTATTTATGTTCTCGCCTCTGTATCTACAGCCTATATTTTTCATATCCATTATTTTTTGAGGGAATCAATATCTATTGTTTTCTATAATTTCACTAAATTCAAGTAAGAATCGTTTCATTAAAAGAAACTTAACAAACAATTATAAAAACTTTTAAAAAAAATTTACAAGAATGATAGACTGGAATAAAGCGAGAGTACCAGTTTGACAGAATAAAAAATAACCAAAGATCATAGAAAATAAGGATGCTGGCTATGTTTATGGGTCGCTTATATTCTATGTCCTTTGTGATAACGAAAATGCTGCCACGTTTCTACGACAAACTGTTTTTGGCCCAGAGAACAGGGAGACTCCTTTAAATTAATAGAGAAAACTCTGAAAATCGGGACTTAATCGGTACAAATATGAAAAACCGGGACACTTATACGTCCCGGCTTTAAAAAAATATTAAGCGGGACAATTTTCTCAAATTCGTACTGTCCCGCCAAAATCGCAACGAATGGTCACCGTAGTTATAATGAACTCTGCTTATAATGGACAAGAAATCGCTATTTGGCTCATTATTACCGGAGCTGTTATGAATTAAATTAAGGTAAGCTTTGCAGTTGGTAGCTAGCAAACAGGTTCTGCAGCAGAAAATGGCGATTATAATAAACAAAGTTCGGTGATTCCCGGAATTCAATCCAGAACGGCAACCAGCTTCTTCGGCAGAATTGATGGTTGCGGTTAACTGTATTTTCAGCAAAAAGGAGAATATTTCGGCCACAATTGGTTTACTTTATATTCTGGTAAGATGAGATAAACGAGTACAGTTGTACAGTTTTACTCAGTCCCGAGAGTCCATTATAACCGGATTTCACTTAAGTTGGCTTTGTATGAACGTAGATATGGCCGATTATTTGACTGGCATTTTTTTATTAATGAATCAATTGTCCATTAAATAACAGAAAACCACCTGGGTTTTTTAGGTGATATGATTAGCCATAGTAAAATCTACAGTGACGAGCAAAACTGTAACATGGTTTAACACTTTTTGTTTCAGCCACCGCTATATTTCCAAGTTCTAACGACTTTCATCCTTTTGTTGAATATTCTTGTTGGTACACCCCAACTCCCTCTCTCATAATGATTTGAAGTCAATACAACAACAATAAAAAAACCAGCAGACAAAAATGTAAATTAAGGCAGATGTTACAATTTTGCACTCACTCTTAGTTTTGCATTTGACAGTTAAATTTTACTTAGTTGGAAGTCAGATGACTTTTTTCTATATTGTATTTTATTGAAGAAGTGATCACCAGTAAATAACATAGTTAATCAGGAACCATAAATGTAAATAATAGATTTACTGCGGAAAGGCGGAACCGCACGAAAAGTGGCAAAAAATTTTGGAATTTGCTACTTAAAAATGTTAAGACTTAGAAAAAATATAGCCTAAAGTGTTCCCAAGGACAAAGGAAGTCTGTTAAAAAATATTACGGTACGATATCTTGTGAACTTAGAAGCAAGTAGCGATGCAGCCACTATTACAGAAGCGCTTAAGGTATTAAACTTTAATGCAAATCAATAGACAGCGAGGCGAAGAATTGCCAAATTGAGCGCAAAGGCATCATAAAGAAGAAAAAAGCAAATTTGATCATAATACATGTGCGAGTGTGGCAGCATTTCGCTGCATCGCACGAAAACCGAACCGTTGCCTATTGGGATATGTTAGGCCGTTCAGAATGCAATAAAAAACATATTTTTAAGTTTCAATTGAAGGTTATTTGGTCTGACAAGACTAAATTAATCGCTTTCAATCAGATGGCCGGGCATGGTATTGGATCAAAGACCCAAATTAAGCCTAAGCGCATCATGTACTGCAAACTGTGAATCACAGTGGTAGGATCTTAATTGTTTGGGGTTGTATTTCAAAAATTTTGTTGGTCCGTTAGTACGCATTATGCGTAAGGAACAGTATCTGTTCATATTTCAACAAAATTTGCAAGATGTAGTCGAAAAATGAGAGTTTCTGCTGAAAAATCACCCAAAACATACTGCATATGTTCGCAAAGACTGGATACAAAAGCAAAAATTTGCTAATTTGAAATGACCTCCACAAACCGCGGACATGAATCTCATCGAATTTGCGAAATCAACTGAAAGCACATCTTAATAAGTATCAAAGCCCGTAAAATCGAGTACATGAGCTGTGAAAGCAAACTAAGGATATACCTCCAGAATTTTTACAAAGATATCAAATAAGGTATGCCAAATCACATCCAGGAACTGAAACAGGCAAAAGAGTACTGAACATTGTGTTAGTAGTTCTTTTTTTCGTGAAAATTGTTAAAAAGCTCTTAAAAATATATGAGTGCAAAAGTGTAACATCTGCCTTAATTTACATTTTTGTCTGCTGGTTTTTTATTGTTGTTGTATTGACTTCAAATCATTATGAGAGAGGGAGTAGGGATGTCCCAACAAGAATATACAGCAAAAGTATGAAAGTCGTTAGAACTTGGAAATATAGCGGTGGCTGAAACAAAAAGTGTTAAATCATGTTACAGTTTTGCTCGTCACTGTATGTTTCTGAAAAAAAGGGTTTAATAATTTCTTTGGTATCAGAGCTATGGGCATTCGGTTATGCACTGGTCACGTTACACTATTTGGATGTTCAATGATCGGTCAGAAAGTTTGAAATTTCTGCGAAAAGGGTGAACGAATATTTCTAGTTTTTCAGTATGTCATCTTCAATGAATGTAGGAGGACATCTGCATACCCAAATTTGGGCGCTTTGGTATGGTATAACCCAAAGGTTTTGCTCATCCATGTCTTTTTTACATTCCTGTGCTGTCATCATAAACAAATGTTTTAGTTAAAATTGAAAACCTTCTATGGAAGAGTTAAAAAATATAATTCGACTATAATTAAAATTTCTAACCAGGTCAAAAATTTTCCTACAGTAGGCTAATATTCATAGTATCGCAAATAATATTCATTTAATGTTATTGTGGCTTGTTAACATTTTATTTTTAATATTTTTATTGAGCTTTGTACCACGATTGTTTATTAGGAAAAATTGAAAAAGCAACAAAGTCTAAGCGGTAGAAGTTATAGCACTATTTCGGAGATCACCACATCTCCTCATCAGACTTCTTTTT